TTGCTTGTAAGGAAATATTTTTGTCATCTCTCTTTTTCTAGACTGTATCAAAATCTTATTACTCAGAATCTGTGTGGACAGAAAGAACACTCCACTCTTCAGTATTGAACTGAATATATGGATACTGAATATGGATACCCAGGTCTATATTTATCTTCTTACTCCATCCCCTGAAAGTATTGAAGAAAATTTTCTTTTGAAACCGTATCAGATAGTATTTGTATAATTACAACTCAACAAGGAAAGACAACAGAAGAACTGACAAAAACAATTTCAGGTCCCCAGATCAATACTGTATGTTCAACAAACTTCACAACTGTCAGATGTAGAAATCCAGCTCTTTCTGAATGACTGTCTATTGACTTCATAGAACAGTGTAGCAGAAAAACAAGACAGTTTATGCCAAAGCACAAGAGAGCACAAAGCTAACAGCAGACTGTACAACCTGTCCGTTCAGCTGTTATACTTAAGACAGAAAAAGCAAAGCAGTATTGGTCAAGGATACCTTTTTCATCTCTTTGAGAGACATTTCACAGTTGAGATCACTTCAAGCATTTGCATTGGTGGTTGTTCTTGGATAAACAGGTTAGCTCACAAGTACTCCCGTTTTTTTTGTAACATGGGCATTTTCTTGCTACCATCTAGCGCTCTCTCATTTCAGAACTCCATATTATAAGACAATGTTCTTTTGTGCCATTGCTCTTCTGCCACCAAAACAGGGGCCCCCGACCTTTTTTTAAATACAAATGTATTTATCACTACTTTGCAATGAATTTGAAAAAAATCAATGCTTCTCTCATTTCAAATGGTTACAAAAGGACTTATAAGGAGACAAAAAGAAAATACATGTCTTTCCAGCACTCTGTTCTATGAAAAAGAAGCATACCTGCAAGTAGCATGGTTTCTTATTTGATTACCTAAATATTTTTCCTTTACGCCAGACATATTGCTGGACTAATTTAATAATTGAGATATAAATATTTAAAAATAATGAAATACTGAGGAATCCTCATCCTTTGCTCAAAAATATTTAATCCAATTAAAACGTTGATTCAAATTCATGCTATTCCTCCCCAAAGTTTGATGACAGTTAAGATGACCAAAATGTAAGCAAAAAGAAGAAATACAATGTTGCATTTAATAACTTTACTGAGTTCTGTAAGAGTTTCCCTTGAAATTGCAATAGCATAACGTAATAAATAAATTTCCAAAGAACTTTGCAGGCTTTATTTTTTAACGTCTGGAATTGAGAGACTGATTTTTTTTTTTTTTTAGCCCAAACAAAATCCATGTTTTCTATTATTTTTTTCTGATTTTTTCCAAGCTTCGTAACACCTGCAAGTTAATGACATTTTTCCAATCATCTTATTTTCAAAATCTGTTCTAAGGTTTGGCAGTACAATGTTTATGAAAGCTCGTAACTCTGCTACTGACAATCGCCCTGTTGAAGACTAATGCCAGTAGCAGAACAAGGTTATGGTTCAGGCTTTAAAAGCACATCTCCAATTTAAACAGAAAAGTTTAGTAGAAAAATACACCATTTCAAAGGCAGCTAAAACCAGCACCTGCAAGAAGACAGAACAATTTGTCACCCAACAGTCTGCCCTAAACTCCATGATCAATGATGACTATTCACCATCTTTGCCACACAAATTTCTTATTTTTAGAAGAGATTGGGAAATATCAAAAGTATTAAAAATAATTCTATTGAGGCAAGAGAAGCTTAGAGTTAGCTAGCTTAGACGTTTCTTCTGTTTGAATTTCACATTTTTTTTCTGATTCCTTTCTACTTGAAATACCATGAACCTGCCATTATGTTCCCTAAGTTTTGCTAGAAGCGCTCTCTTGATATTTTTGAGCTCTGCCTCCCCCATTCATCCATTCCTCATGGTCAACTTATCTCATGATACATGCTCACGTAATCCTGAATAATAAATAAATAAACATAGAAATAATCCAATAGAAAGATTTTTTTTTTCATAGCCTGCAAGTGGCTAGGTTCGTATCTCTTTATTATCCAATAATGAAAAGGCCCGCCTGTAAAGCAAACCAGAAAACAGATGCTATGAATTTAGCCATGAGAAACACTGCTGAATTTCCTGACATCTATAGGGCTGAAGTTTCAATACTGACTGATATAGAATAAATAGTTATTAAAAACTCTCAGTAAGGTACAGTGTGAATCAAGACACCTAAAAGAAATGTAAGAACATCTACTTTAAAGCTAAGAGTCCTAGTAAGAGAGAGCTTTAAGTTCTGTCTGATCTTCCAAATCCTATTCCTGACACTGGAGTGAGCTAAAAACCTCCTCTCCTCGTATTTGCATTTTCTATTAACAATCTATATCTAACAACACAAATAAAGTATTCATGCAAAAATCTGCATAGCATTTATTAAAGCCATTCTGAAGGGCATTAACACCCAGCCACACCTTGACCACAGTCAGACAAACCATCACAAATCCATGCAACTCTTGAAGGAGGCTCTGCAGACTGGCCTTATGACCAGCCGGTCATCAGAGATACCAGGGTAACAAGCATTATTCCTCTCAGTGGCCTCATAACACTTGCCTCTTACCGTACTGTAGATTTTAACAAAAATTGAACTGCACACCTTTTCATAGATTTGGCACTCCCCCTCTTCTGCCCAACAATGTGTTTCCTTGTTTTCAGAACAGCATCACATTTCCATAATATTCCCAGCAGCTTTCTAGATGCTCATCACAACTAACCAGTTTATGAATAAAAACATTTAGATCCATTTTTAAATTATTTCTCTTTCTTACACTCCAGGCCCAATTCTAACTGGTTCTACACCAGCTCATGTATTTCATAACTTTCATCTGATTTAGGTGCTTAGACTAGAGCAGGAAGCATGCTTGACTCCACTTAGTATTAAATAAGGCTTTCCTCTTTGCTCCAGCTTAAGGAATACATGGTTAAAATATATAGTCAAAACATTGTTTATATGAAGACCTTTTGTGAAGCTGATACAGCTTGCAAATACCGGATAGATTTGGTTTTGCAATGGATCCAATGCAATTAGTAGGTCATAAGTACCGAATCATCTTACAAGGTGCTATAGACTACTATAGAGAAAGTCGACATGTTTCATGGAAATTGGTCATGATAAAGTTACCAAATTTCACACAGATAAAGGTTAAGAAGAATTTCCCTTGCAGTTCCAGGAATCATTCCTAGAATTTATAACAACAATAGAAGAAGATACCATATTTGCTTTTGTTTAAATTAATTCTGAATTAACTCAAAACTGTCATATTCGTAGATGCACAAGTGCTCAAGCCTATCTCTGTGTGCAATATGTGGGAAGCCTCTGCCCAGAAGCTTGACCTGGTGCATCCTTACAAGGCACTGAGAAGACCTGTGTGAGAACTGGGATAACACAGAAGTGGGAGTCTAGGAAAACCTGAAGAAATGAAGGCAACAAAGAAGGGAAGTCATGAGAGAGAGAGAATTATTGTCATGAGGAGTGGGGACAAAGGCAATGCACCTATGTGAACTATAGGCTTCATTAGTCCCCATTGCTGTTGAAAAAAGTTGTTTACAGTGAATTTCAAACCCAAGGTTAAGCTTCAAAATTAGTAACAAATTAAATCCATTAAAAGAAGACACCAAGGCAGATACATTTTCCATGCTGCAGTGCTATGAACTACAACAGAACAGAAATTCTGTTAGGACTCCTTCACAATCACAGTGAACAATGACAGGAAACATACATTTGCAGTAATGGAAAAATCAATTTCTACTAGGTAGTTTGTTATCCTGACATCCTTAAGCATTGAACTTCCATGTTATAATCAAAAAATTATTAGGATTCATAGCAGTGAAAAAAAACAAGACCCAGCCTCCAACATCAGTGGGAGGGGGGCAAATCTCACAATAGCATTACTGCTGCTCTTTATGAAAATGTTATAGAACACTTCATGCACGTCAAATATAATAACGACAGATCACAAAAAAAAAAGTTAGAGCTTCCGAAGTCACAGACATGCACAGAATTCTTCTATATCCATATGAGGATATTATTACACATTGTTCATTCTAGCAAAAAAAGTAGACTGATAGAAAATTTGAACACTGCATGGCCTCGAGGCCATGGTTCCCCCAATGGTATGCACAGCCAAAGTTGATAGAAGAATATTCTGGCTGTAACTCCCTGTAGGTCAAATTTAGTAAATGCAGTAACGCAGAATTTTCATTCAGTTCTCTTGTGCGAAGCATTATAATACAATCTTTAATTATATCCTCAATCTGGTATTTTCATTCAAGATCCCTGCTTTTAAACATTTTGCAGAACTGACAGGGCTCACTTAATCAGCAGTTTTTCAAATGGTCAGTTGAACACGACCATGCAAGTGTGGCCCCAGGAATTTAACTTACTGTAACCTTTGGAACCTCTTGAAGGGAGGTTCAGGATATTTTTCTTCCCTTCCATGCTCATCTGTTCAGTACATACATGTCTCACATAACATTAAGAATGTGCCTGTAAGGTGTGCATTTACTATACTATTTTGAAAGTGGAGCCAAGGAAGACAGATTAGTTTAAAAAGCATTATTAATTTTGAGTCCCTGCGCTTTATTACAATTTTAGAGGTTATTTAGCAACTCAAAATTAAAAATCTAGTTCCCATGTACTTAATTTTCAGCATAATGTTCAAGGCAGACCCTGTGGTGTCAAATGAAGAATACAGACCACGGTTTCTCATACTTTTCTCACGTACATGGTAGAAATTAATTATTTTCAGCTCCATTTAGCTTTAATTTATTGAAGGTCCCCTCAAGTAGTTCTGTGGACTCCACGTGGCACGGGAGGAAAAAGCAGTAGGGATGAACTTCCCAGTCCAGCACTGCTGCCAAGGAAGCGTTACCATAACATACTTCCAGAGAAGGAGAAACATTTGTGTGAAATGTTTGGTTTAAGCAATGTATTTAGCATCACTGAGAAATTCTGTAGCAGAAGCAGGGACAAAATCCACTCACCATGGTAGGCTCTACTTGCAAAAATCTCCCTTCTCTCCTACATGCCCTATCTCATTTTGGTGAAATAAATAAGGCAAGCATCCACACCAGTAAACCCACTTTCTCCCTGAAAAAAGGATAGAGAAGTCAGCAAGTAAATGGCAATTTACAGCAGTTAAACACCACTTATTTATCAAATGTATTGTTCAGTTCACTGTCCTTACCAAAGTTATTATTATGGGGATCTTCCATTTAAGTCTCACAATGGGTTTCACCATGTTATTACAGAATGAACTGTTAAGAAATATGAAAGCAAAGAACTAAGCCCAAAACAGAGCTTCTACAGTGACAGATCAACTGCTGCATCAGTTTAACATGGCAATAATATGGATGATTTTAGGAACTTATTTAGCATCCAAGCTTTAGGAAGCTCAGATAAAGATTCATTTAATGAGTAACACTGCATCATCCATCAGCTCTATGTTACCACTGGCAATAGGCATGCTGTTAGCCTGTTAATAATTTCAGTTGGTTTCTTTGGTTGGCTACACTTAATTGTTGTCAATCAGAAAACAAATTAAATTCTTGTTTTCTTTGCAAGGTCCTTATGCTCAGCATTTCAAAACAACTAAATGATAGATGCTAATTTGGGGGATGGAGGGAATATTTACAGCTACTTACAGGAATGAGGTAGGTAGGCCCCTGTTTCTGTTTCTAATACGTTTACCTATTTAGGAAAGCAGGAGGCAACTGTCCAGCTGATTTTACTTCTGATTGTGAAGCTCTGCAGTATCATGTGCCTGTGAGAATGGAGAGAAGACCAGAACATGTTTTACTGTTATACTCCAAAAGTGACACTGTAAAGTACTGTTCTGCATCCATTTATCATTCCCACTACACACCCTGAGCCTGGAATCTTAATCTGCAGCACTATTATCGAGAAAGAATGTCTTCCTTTCTTCCAGCTTTGGCCATTCCCAAGATTGTTACAAGCACTTCAGTATCTTACTGTTGAGATCACAATAGCTTTTCCATCAGGAATTTCAGCCAGAGCCCAATCCAATTCATATTAAATAAAAGAAACATTCATTATCAAAAGGAGAAACAGGAAGGAAGCTTTCTGGAGGGAAACATTGTCTGACCACTGGCACACATTAACCTGGACATAAGGATTCTAAAAGGTAACTTGATAAACCCAAACGGTATGCCTTATGATTGAGATTGCTTTGCCATTGCAGAGGTATGTACATCAGATGACAGCTTCTTAGGAATGCAGCCCCCTTACTGTTTGGTTCAGAGAAACAAAGGCAATATAACTCAAAATCCAGGTTAGAGGGCTGGTTTTCCACCCATTTGACTGTACATTCCATGTCAATGACAGAACTGAGTAAATTATTCCAGCTGATCCAGTATATTTAGTCTCTTTCTATTCATGCAACATTTATCTGCAGATTGAGATTTACTGATTTTGTTCAAAAAAAGGCGTATGATTTAAAACCAAACCAAACCAAACCAACAAACCCAACAACAACAAAGCATTGCAGATTGATCTAAAAGAATCCTCAATATTAATTAAATTAACTATGAAGCATAGACCCAAGTGGTTTAAAGAGCTATATGATAATGATTTGCTGGATATGTGAGCTTGTTGTAGTTTATCTAGCTTTTTATCTGGTTTACCTGTTAAGAGAGCAAAAATGATAAGCACATACTCTTCTTTTAAAGTCTGTTTAGTGATACTCTGCCCAAATATCATTCTTTCTGACCCTGACTAAGGTCTGCTTCTCTATTAGTCTAAGTACCATTAATCAAACTCTTAAACATTACCTCTTGTAATGGTTTTATGGCTATTGCTCTTATACTCGCTTTCTCCAATTCTTTAAATTTTTTGTTCCTCCTAGTTACGACTTCCTCCTAGTTACACTTTCTTCTCGATATACAGTTTGCTTTTTTTAACAAGTTCATATATAGAGTTATATTTACTTGTATATTTGTGTAAGCAAATCCACATATTTGTTAAACATATTTGTTTTATAAAGACAGACAAACAAACTCTTTTCTATTTTTTTTTCTCCACACTCTCAGCCATATTTTTCCTAGTATATGTTGTTGTAGAAATTTATTTCAATATAACACACCTTCACTGGTCATTTTTACAGCTGTAGACGCTGCCTGCTTTTCAGGTTCTGTTGAATTTTCACCTGGTTAACTTGTGTCAGCCACCTAGAGCACTGTCAAAGTTAATTTTTCTGTGAAATTCCACTGAAATGGAAAAACAGCTATGGCAACCTGACCGGAAAGACCTAAATATCCTCCATATTCACACACAGAGTATTTGGAAGTGGTGATTGTCACAAAAATAACTTATTTAAGGTGTGGAAAATGAACATGCAACTCCATGCAGTCAGGAACTTACATGCACATTTTTACAAATGTCTACTGAAGCCCACAGGCAAAACTGTACTTACATTTTTGACTAAAGATATCACACCTTTGATTCCAAACATTATAAGAAACAATCCAAATTGCCAAATTGAGATAGGTTTTTAAGAGATTGTCCAGATACTTTTTTCACTCTTGCCGAGGTCTTTATTTGAGACTTCTAGATTGAAACATTACCCAAACTTTACTTCAATTTCACAGTAGTGTTTATATTGTTATGTGCAGATTGTACAAGTACACATAATATGCTAAAATTCTTTTAGCCGAAGAATGGTGCTCAAGATCTTTGAGTTCGTCTGATTCCTTTCCACCAGCAACATTTCATTCACAACACACATTACAGTCACACACACAAATCATTGAGAACAAGTAGTGCATCAGTAATGCTGTTGGTGGAAACAAAAAGAGAGCCCAAGCCTGTTGTGCTGTTCT